TGCTGATGATGATAATGAAGATGATGATGATGATGATGATGATGATGATGATGATGATGATGATGATGATGATGATGATGATGATGATGATGATGATGATGATGATGATGATGATGATGATGATGATGATGATGATGATGATGATGATGATGATGATGATAATGAAGATGATGCTGCTGATGATGATGCTGATGATGATGATGATGATTGTGACGATGATGATGATGGTGATGATGATGGCGATGATGCTGATGATGATGATGATGATGCTGACGGTGATGCCGATGATGTTGATGATGATGGTGATGTTGATGATACTGATAATGATGTCGATGATGATGATGCTGACGATGATGATGCTGATGATGAGGATGAAGGTGGTGGTGGCGATGATATTGATGATGGTAATGATGGTGATGTTGATTCAGATGCTGATGGTGATGCTGATGCTGATGCTGGTGATAGTGATGATGATGATAGAGATAATGATGAGTATGGTGATGCTGATGCTGATGAGGATTACGATGATGCTGATTTCGATGATGATGATGATGCTGATGATGATGATGATGCTGACGATGATGATGGTGATGATGGTGATGATGATGCTGATGGTGATTGTGATGGTGATGGTGATGGTGATGCTGATGATGATGATGATGATGACGACGACGACGATGATGATGATGATGATGATGATGATGATGATGATGATGATGATGATGATGATGATGATGATGATGGTGGTGATGGTTGTGATGGTGATGATGGTGATGATGATGGGGATGAGGATGATGATGATGATGATGATGATGATGATGATGATGATGTTGATAGTGGTGATGATGATAATGATGGTGATGTTGATGATGATGCTGATGATGATGAGGAGGAGGAGGAGGAGGAAGAGGAGGAGGGGGAGGAGAAACGTAGGAGGAGGGAGGAGGGAGGGGGGGAGAGGGAAGAGGGAGGAGGGAGGAGGGAGAGGGAGGAGGAGGAGGAGGAGGAGGAGAGGAGGAGGAGGAGGAGAGGAGGAGCAGGAGGATGAGCAAGAGTGAAGGGGGACAGGCGGGAGAGGGAAGGGAGTCAGAGAGCAGGGAGGAGAGGGAGGGGAGCGAAGGCGAAGAGAAGGAGGAGGAGGAGGAGGAGGAGGAGAGGAGGAGGAGGAGGGAGGAGGAGGAGGAGGAGAGGAGGAGGATTAGGGTAAGGGGGGGTAGGATTATCAGGAGAAGGAGCAGGGAGGAGGGAAGAGAAGGCATAGGACGGAGGAGGGGGGAGCAGGATAGGGAACACCCTACAATCCTCGAAACCACGTACGGCCTGCAAGGCCCCCTAGATGACCCTAAGACTCTTATCCTCATCCTGCCCCGTCTCTTGTCTTCTTGCTGCTGTCTGCACTCCTCCTCGCCTTGGAGAAAGAGGAGGAGGAGGAGGAGGAGGAGGAGGAGGAGGACGAGAAGAAGCAGGAGAAGGAGGAGGAGGAGGAAGAGGAGGAGGAGGAGGAGGAGGCACTCGAACGATTGGGACCGCTCCTATGGAACATGAGGGGAGGCTCCAATTGATGACAGGTCAACGCAAACGGCTGGAATGCGCAGGTGCCCAGAGGCCAAGAGAGGGCCCCGTTTTGGCTTGGACATGCAGGTGTGTAGTCGACGTCCTTATCAGGAGTGAGGGGCGGAGCGGCAGAAGCCGCAGAAGCACAAGCGGGAGCAGAAGCAGAAGCATGAGCAGGACGGAGCAGGACGGCGAACATCAGGATAAGGAAGAGGAGGAGGAGGAGGAGGAGGAGGAGGAGGAGGAGCAGGAGGAGCAGGAGGAGGAGCAGGAGGACGAGAAGCAGGAGGAGGAGGAGGAGGAGGAGGAGAAGGAGGAAGATCGGGCAGGAGGACGAAAGGAGGAGGAGGACGAGAAGGAGGAGGAGGAGGAGGAGGAGGAGGAGGAGGACACCCGGCGATACGCCACCATGACAAGTGCCCCTGGCGGCTTCCAAGCAAGTCCCACCCCCGCCGATTCGACGCTGCGCGCACTAGGTTGCCATGGCCGACTTGGGCACAAATGCTAACCACTCCCCCACAACACCGCCGTAACTAACCCAATCACATTTCGGCTCTTTCAGGTTCCCGGAGATTAGAACACAAACGATCCAGGATATTAACAAGTCAGGGAACCGACACCCTCTTCTGCAAAGTCAGATTCGGTTGTCCAGCGCAGTTTTTTGTTCGCTACACTGCAGGATTCGGGTCTTTGTTCGGGTCTAAGGGGGGGGGCAGGTTTTTAGGGCCCGTGAGTTTTATTCCGGGAAGTTGCAGTGCTGAGCTTTTTTTCGTGGCGCCGTCTGGAAAAAGTGGTTTCGAGGGATGTTGGATGTCTTGGTCCAGCGTGTCCCGGTTTACGGGGCTCTGACTCTCTTTCCCGCCTCTCGGGGGCGGCCTAGAAGGGGGTGATGCCTAGGGGCGGGGGGTGGGAGATCATGGCCGGGGCCATGATATGAGGCGATCCA